AGTAGGTCTTTGATCACCCTTCTCTTTCTTGCACTCCCTAACCCTCTTACATTCCAGCTAATAATTTTCATCAAGACAAAATAGCAAAAAACCCATGAAAAGGCCATAATCTCCTCATTTTAGGCCCTTCCTCCTATCCCCTCTACCAAACTTGGGAAATATTCTCTGTTGTAGTTTGTGTATTTGCTGTTTGGAAAGGCTACTCCTTAGGCCTCTAAGGGGATCTTCTTGTATTTATTCATTATTTTAATGAAATTGATGTTATTTATCAAAAAAAATTGATCTTCCTCCAGACAAGGAGACAGACGGATGTAGACGGGTGTTCACTGTAAAGTACAGGGCCGACGACAGGATAGAGAAATACAAGGCAAGGTTGGTTGCAAAAGGGTATACTCAGACCTATGGCATTGATTATATGGAAACATTTGCTCCAGTGGCTAAGATGAGTTTAGTTCGTATTCTTTTGTCTCTAGCAGTCACCTACTCATGGCCCTTGTTTCAGCTTGATGTTAAAAATGTATCCTTCAATGGTGATTTATAGGAGGAGGTATATATGGACATTCCAGTAGGTTTTTATAAAAATGTTGGTAAAGGAAAGGTGTGCAAACTCAGAAAATCATTGTATGGCCGGAAACAGTCACCTAGGGCTTGGTTTGACAGGTTCAGAGGGGTGCTCATCCGTTTTGGGCACACACAAACCCAGTCTGATTACACCCTCTTTATGAAGAGGAGAGATGCTCTTGTCTCAATTCTAATTGTATATGTGGATGATTTGGAGGAGATTGATGCTCTCAAAAAATTATTGCAGCAAGAATTTGAGATCAAAGATCTTGGTGAGTTCAAATACTTCCTAGGGATTGAGGTTGCAAGATCCAAGCATGGGATCTTCATTTCTCAAAGAAAGTATGTACTTGACCTACTGCGAGAGACTGGGAAGTTGAAAACCAAACCAACCGACACCCCTATTGATCCAAATCATATAATTAATGCTATGGATGGTGAGTTGGTAAAAGATGTGGGGAGATATCAAAGAATGGTGGGCTAACTATTATATTTGTATATGACACGACCAGATATTTCCTATCTCGTCGATGTTGTGAGTTAGTACATGCATGCACCTCGGGTTCAGCACTGRGAAGCTATTGAGAGAATACTTGCATACCTGAAGAAGCATCCCAGTAGAGGCATTCTTTTCTCAAACCATGAAAATCTGAAGTTGGAACCCTATATAGGTGCAAACTGGGCAGAGTGTTTAGATAACAGGAGATCTACATCAAGAGTATGTACCTTTGCAGGTGGAAACTTGATCTCATGGAAGAGTAAGAAGCAAGCAGTTGTAGTTAGGTCAAGTGCAGAGGCTGAGTATCGATCCATGGCTCATGGTGTCTTAGAACTACTTTGGGTTAGATCCCTATTGAGTGAGATAGGGATGAAAGCAAAGGACCCTATGATGTTGTACTGTGACAATCAGGCAACAATCAATATTACCCACAATCCAATTCAGCATGGCAGGACAAAACACATTGAAGTTGATATGCACTTCATAAAAGAGAGGGTAACAACTGGAGAAGTTTGCTTGTTTTATGTCTCTTCAGAGTTGCAGTTGGCTGATGTTCTCACTAAAGGGGCTGCAAAGAACAAACTTGAACATGATCTACGCAAGTTGGGAATGTGTGACATTTACTCCCAAGTCCCAATTTGAGGGGGAGTGTTGAAGATTAGTTAGTTTTGTGTTGTTTTAAGAGTAGTTGTGTTATGTTAGTTGTTAGATAGGAAGTGGGGACCACAGCAGTTATGTGAGTCCAAATTTTATTAGTTTTTTGAGTCCTTTACATGCTGTTTTATGTTTTGCCACCCTATAAGGACATAGTAGTGTTTGTACTTGTCTTATATTTTTAATATAAATAATAAGAAGGGGGCCGCCAGATTATTGCTCTCTTTCTTCTCAAGATCTCTTCTTCTCTTCTTCTTCTTCTCTCTTCCTTCTCTCTTCAAGAAAACACACTTTTCTTTCATATTTTTTATTTCAACAGATTTCTACTCAAGTAATGGCAACAGGGGAGTTGAAAGAACATTTTGGTGGTTTGCCTGCCAAAGACTTAGCTGGAAGAGAATCAACCAGTGCAATTAGTTCTCGTGGTTGTGATGGGAATGTGTATTGAATGTTCTATGGAAGTTCTTAATGATGTAACTCTCCATTTTTAGATCACCCAGCTTGATAAACAGATATATGGATCATTTAGATTCAGGTCTGCCAAAATTAGGGCATTGTTACTGAAGACAAGTCTATATTCCTAGCATGCAATATTCCCAAGAACTATGGTTCAGGCAGATGCAAAGAGAAAGCCAATGGAGAAGCTGACATTTCTAGGTTATACAAGATCAATCTTAAGGATCAACTCTTAGTTATTCATAGATGATAAATTGCTGCCACTACATTGCATTTTGAGGTTCAACTATGATATCAGTTACCAGAAAGACGTGATACTAGAAAAACTTGTAACCAATCAACCAGTATCATAAAGGCGGTAACCAACTGCAGTATATCAAAATTCACAAGGGCATTTGATTGGTCACAGCTCTTCCAGTGTCATGTCTTTCCAGCATCATAATTTTTCCTCCATTTTGCCCATGAACATTTTGTATTCTATATTATTTATATATTTAATGATTTAATCTATCAAAAATGTTATTTTTATATTTATATTATAATGCTTAATGCTTTATGCTATATATTTAATATTTTATCGTTAAAGTTATAGGCCCAGAATCCCAGACTGGCCTGGGTCCAGCCCATGATCACCCCTAGGCTGAATACATACCTAACCATTAGCATTTTTTCACACAAAGTGGCTGTTCTCAGACTTGAACCCCTGTTCCCACACTTAACAGACTTAGAGTTTACCATTTCCATATTCTCCAATGGATGCCAAAACTATAATAATAAGCAAAATTAAGGTGGACACCAACCTCATCATATCCAGTAAGCCAAACACGTGGAGTTTGATAATACTTATCATACCTGGAAAAGGATAATAAGAAGAGAAGTCACAATCCATGGCAATGCAATGAAATGAGAACGGGAGGTGTTTTAGTAATGCTAGAAGATCGTAAGAACATCTAATATTTCCATGCATGCAGGCTTTTTAAGAAACAGTATGTAAACTTTGGTGATAAACATGAATTTTCATAAACTCTAGCTCCAGGAGTGCCAATATTATTAACTTGGCTGATCAGTGGACATCACCATCAACATTTCTGTGAGTAGCTAAGTGCAATACACACAATAGCCTCACATCCATTTTCCTTCCAAAATATAATGCCCAGATATAGATACAAACACTGATACAGGAAATGGCCATACAACTCTCAATTTCCTAAAACCCAGACACGGATATTGCAAGTCAGGTCCAGTTGAGATCTACCCTAACCCAACCCAAGTTGTTCAATTACCAACGGCCCCCCATAGGGTTGGGTTGGGATTAGGTTGGCCCAATTTCTTCATGTTTTTTCTTTTAGGAAAAAAATCTTCTCATTTAGACTTAGAATTATCTATTTAGGGTTTTTTTTTTTGTGTGTGTGTGTGTTTGTGTGATGGGGGGGGTTCTGGCTAACCTTGCCCAAGATGCACCGTACCATGTAATATGCTTATATCATACTTTTATATCTAAATGTCATTTCTCAAGACTTACCTCTTGCCAAATTTAATTAAACTTCTAACATGTAAAGATTCTTTTATAGTTCAATCTGTAAAAACATACCAATTTATATATTTTCAATCTTTCAATGCTATAAAGTACAGCTTTAAAGCAGATATACAAGTACCCATGCAGTATCCAGTGTCATATCATGTACAAGTACGACACCAGTATGCTTGGCATGTATAAGTATCGAAGTACTATAGCTTCCAAAACATGAAATAAAAGTACTCAAAACCAATCTCCCCCCCAACCAAGAGAGACCTAAGTAAGCAACCCAATTTTGACTTGGTACTTGGAAGGAGCATGTAGAGCTAAAAATTAGGGTCTTGATCCCTGTACATATGTGTATTTCTTTTCAACCAAGGAGGTTATTCAAGAAACTAGTTATTTTCTGAAAATCAGGTGAAAGTTGTCATTTAATCATTAACTGATTTAATTTGTAGTTTTATAGTTTATAATTCACATGTAATTACACAACATTGATGTAATCAAGTTTATTAGATGAATGTCCTTATTTGCTTTGAATTTGATATAGCATAACCCCATCTGCTCCTCAAAAGATTAAGCATCAAATTTCACATTCAGTAAATGATAACATTGTAAACTAAACGATTCACAAACTTCAAGAAAAATGATAGCTTAGCCATATTCAAATTAACTGCTTAATCAAATATCAAAGGCAGGAGGAGAGAATGAAACCTTATAATCAAAGTTTGATAATGCGGTCATTCATATAAACATTAAGAAGATCAAAAATGAAAATACATATCAAGAAACAGTCATATAGCCCCAATGCCAGCTATGCACCATATCAGCGTTCACTGACTGAGGGAAACCATAAATGAAGTTCATGAAAAATTATAAGAAAGTTATAATCATATAAAAACACTAAACCCTATTGTAGAGAGGGAGCATGCTTATTATCAAAGGAAACAATTACTTACGTGATGCTAACATCATATGTTCGAGTTCGGAGAATATTGTCATCATCAGGTTCATGAGCCACAAGATATGTAGATTGAAGTGTTGCCTGAATTTTTAGAAGTATACCATAAGTATTGAAAGGGATTGTTAATGAAGGAATGTGTGAAATTCATTAAAATAAAAACAAAGAAGAGGATGGCTGAAAATTGCGGTTAGCACACCTAACAGAAAGGGAGAAAAGGAAAAAACTAGATGCTTCACAATAGAGAGAGAGAAAGATAAATCCATTTCAACCATCAATATGAGTCTACAATCAGAAATGGGATAGAAGAATGTGAGCCATTGACTAACCGGGAAAGTTTGATCTCTATTAACATTTACAAGATCCAATAGGGGGTAAAGTAGGCTGGACCAGGGTCAAACATTTGTTGAATTACCTTTCAAAAAATAATAAAAAAAAATGAACAGCCCAGCTCAATGCAATTTGAATTCAAAACCTAACTATTAATTCATGCCTGAACTTGTACCTCCAGCTTCAATTGACTGATTATACAAAAAGGAAAAAAGAAAATTGCAAAACCACCAGCTCTTAGACTAAGTAAACTAATTCTACCATGATCAGAAAAATAAAAACAGAAAAGAAGACTAATCCAGGAATAGACAAGGGTTGGTAATGGTATTTATGTAAAGTCGAATCTTCTTTTATTGGTATTTTGGTAATGTACAATTGTGAGAAATGGAGGATTAAAGAGAAAATTCCAATCAACAGATATATTATTGGACTCTCAATTAAAGGTTGATTGATCCCACAAGTATAGAGGATCTATCATAATACCGACAGTTTGTCAGCATAAAAAGAACTAATGCTTTGTTTTTTGTTATATCAGTATATCTATCATTACATGCAAAGCCTCAAATCGATGCAAAAGGCAAACAAAGACAAACCACCAAAAGTAAACACTATAAGATGGTTAGGAAGAAAGAAAGCTGTGGAAAGTGGTGTAGAACAAAGGGCATAGACACATTCCCTCCTCAATATCATACAACCTACTTTTCCTAGTGCTAATATTTATAAAGAGAATCAAATTCAACGTAAAGTTACAATTTATGATTTCCTATGCTGGGAAATATCCCTATAACAGCATTCTAAAGAATGCTCTAGTAACGGACAAAACCTTCAAGCCATCAATGAACTTCTTGACCGGTAATATTTTCATGGTCCATCTAGAGTAGAAAGGTAGATTAACCCAGATAGCTAGGAACTCAGGATAAGGATTTATTGAATTGACAATTGTGTAGATGATCCTTTAGTTCAACATATATGAAGTCATTCAATTTTAAGCAAGAATAAAAGTCACATGCTATCAGATTTGCTGTCAGGATTATAGTGAATAAATAAACTATCTAATAGAATTTAAGGCTTCATGTATGAAGTCTTATTTGCTACAAATCCAAGAGTTGCGTAGAAGTTATTAAATCTTTCTCATTTAGTTGAAGGTTCTCGTCAAGAATAGCACCAATGACTAACTTACAGCATCTGTCTCAATAAGGTTATCAGGATCTTCATACTCTTCCATATCTGGAATATCTTCTTCCTCTTTACCACCAAAATATGAGGGGATTGAATGAATAGTTTTGTTCTTGCTGATCTCTAAGATCTCCATGGAAGGTAAATTTTCCTCCTCGTCACACTTGGTTTCTGGAGAAAATAGAAGGTCATTCAAGACTTCAGACATACTTCTACTCCTTTATGTCTAGCTTAACAAAGTAGCATACCCTTTGGTTTCCCATGAGTTGCTAGCCAACCATCATTATCTTCATTATCAAGAAGTACTTCCCCTCCTGCAGCTTCATATTCTTCTTCCACAGATGCTGCCCTTCGTAAACAAGGCACTGCAAAGGAAACCCACTGCTTGTCAGGAAAGATTTTCATCTCCAATGTTTTCAAGGAAACCAAAAGAAACAACTGCTGGATGACAAGAATATTCATATCATGAAGGGAGAATGAGAGAAAGCTATTACCGGCTACAAACTACACTCTTTTCCCATCCACAACGACAGTAACCTACGTGAACTAACAGCAGATAAAACCTTAACAGCATATGAAGTGTACATTCAGAAACACAATGACCAAAACAGACGGGCCCACTGTACCACTACCAATGGTAAGTGACAGATCACCAAACTTCAACTATTTTTTCTTTTCAGGCTCAAAAATAAACATGAACGGACATCTTAAGCTAGAAAGAAAAGTAAGGCAAAAACCAAAAACTAAAACATAATATGTTGCATTGGCCTTTATCATTGCTCAAGGCAATCTTGATGAAATGAAGCCAGGAGAGCCCTTAACAAAATATATAAAGGTTCCAAACACCGAAACTAAAACAAAGGGGTAAAATAGCAGAGAAGATTCAATACCATTTCTAGTGATTAAATACTGCTTATCAGGGGGTAAGTAGGACTTGCGTTTGCTCGGCTCCCCAGATTCCCTGATGCATGATAACTAACCAGTGAGTGGATTAGAAAAATAAATAAATAACAGAACATAACACAAGTAACCCAAACTAGATTAGTTAAGGAAAACACGGTAACTAAATGAATTTCAGATAAAATCCTTGAAAGTTGAAACAACAAAGAAAATAGACAGGACATGGTTATTGATCAGTTAAGCAAACTTAGAGAAAATTTTGATCCCAATCTCAAGTTCTTGCCATTCAATTTTCCAGACCAATAAAGCATCTCAAGTCAACAGTCAAAACCAACAAACAGCAATCAAAACCCAACGATTCTAAGGGGGAGAAAAACGTTGTTCCAATCAAGGAAAAAAATTAAGGAAACTGAACAAGGAACAGACAATCAAAACCCACGAAATCAAATCAAGAGAGATAAGACAGGAAATTTACCAAGACCAGGTAGGGCATTTGGAGACGAGATTATCGCCAGCGAGAATGAATTCGCTGACGCTAAGAACACCTTTCTCCTTGAATGCGGAGACCGTACGAGGCCCTGTAATCCTCTCGACGGTCCCTTTGAAGGCTTCATGAATCTTCTGCGATAGAACCATCGCTCCAAAGAAATAATTTTGAGGGGTTAAACTTCCAGAAAACGCTCAACAAGGAGTTCGAATCGATAGTTTTGAAGAAGAATTTGTAGATTAAAGCGACGACTTAACAGTTAACACGCAAAATTAGTGCCAATCTCGGTGATAGCTTGAAGCTTAAACTCGGAAGTTCCGAAGCGTGAATGCCTTTTCTGTTTTAATAATCTTTTCCCGGTTTTCATTTGTGGGAAACCGGTGGTCACATCAACGTCGCTTTGGCCGAGTGGTTAAGGCGTGTGCCTGCTAAGTACATGGGGTTTCCCCGCGAGAGTTCGAATCTCTCAGGCGACGGTTGCATTTTTGGTTTTTTTTTTTAAGGTTTTGTGGTCTTTAGATCAAAAGAAAACCAGATTTGCCCTTATAGACTTTACTACTCTTAATGTTTTTTATAAAATTAAATTACTTTATTCTTTTCAGTAGTTTTTTTTTTTCAAGTAAAAATGAAAAGTTTTTGGAGAGTATTTTAATGATTTTTCAAAAAAAAAGGAGGTTTTTTCTATATTATATTACAAAGAGAGTTTTTGTAAAAAGTGAAACCAAGGGAAAGATTTATGATTGATAGAAACATGAGGGGAGGAGGTTTCTATATTTTATCCTATTTATTACAATAATTATTATTATTTCAACAAATTCCTTCGGTTGTTGTTATATGACTTGCCATATCTGTTGAGAATGGATCCGTAAGAAGTGGAACAGTAAGGCATACGCATATGCAATTTCCTATCGTACATAAGCAGAGCAGCAGGTACACACAAAGGTACAGTTGGGCACATGGTCTTTGGAATTTGGGATTGGGGGTATATGTCAATAAAGGATACGCATCCTATGAATCATGTTGTATAGATGGATACAATCTGATATGCAATCGGGGATCTGTGCCATGCATCAAGGAAAAGTTAAATAATGGAAATTCATAATTATATTAATAATTTTAGTAATTTAATATTTTAGATTAATTATATTAATAAAAACAATAAATTACTATTAATTACTCAATAGATAATTATTTTTTATATTATTCGTTAGTGTTTTATTTAATTTATCTTATTTTATTAATCATTAAATGTTATAATTAAATTAATCTATAGATTAACTTTTTTAGTCATAATTAAATTAATCAAGTCCAAGCTCAAGGTTTAAAACTGTGAAACAAATCCTCATTTGGGTATCATTATCAATCCCCATCCCTACCAAGGTAATATCCATCCTTAGTCCCATCGGATTGAGAAAGCTGAGTACCCAATGGGATGGGGAACACTACCATCCCTATTCACATTCGACTCCTATTAATTGGTTAACTGTCATAAAAATGTAATTCGGAACCTAATAAATAAAATTAAATTTTAGCAAATTTTTATCTAGCAACTATTAAAAATTAAGAAATTAATAAAAATTAGTAGTTCATAAAATAATAATAATAAGTAAAAAAAATATTAAATATAATAAAATAAACCACTTGCATTCTATATTAAAATTATAAAATTTAATTAAAATATTAAGACTAACAATGACCTAATTATAAATGTTTTAAGACTCCTACTTAGGGATGATCATTTATAACTTAGCCTATACCCAGCTAAACCAACAAATTTTCGAGCTCAAGCAATTATTTTCTTTTGAGCTAGGTCTAGATCAAATCTACACCAACCCCACACGATGTAGACAGTAGGACTATTAATGGTTTGGATTCATATCACAACCAAATGAACTTGCATTTACATTCGATTATGAAATCTATATCTACATTCGCATTTGATTATTATGTTGGGTTTTGGATCATTTTCACATTTAATTTGTAACCATCTTATTGGATTTCAATTGTTGTTGTTGTTGTTTGGAGTTGGAATTGGAACAAACTAACAATTTTATTAATAATTTATTATTTTATTAGTGCTTTATTATTATTTTATTAGTATTTATAATGAATATTTTATTATTAATTATTAATATTAATAGTTTTAATTTTAATTATTAATATTAATATCTTATTATTTATTTATTACTTAGTAGTAATATTATTATAACTAAAATTATTTTTCCTACCCCAAAATATATTGTATTAATATTTTATTTATACCTTATTATTATTATAATATTTTATAATTAAGGGGTTTTGTATCATGAGTTCTTTAGTCCTTAAGGAGAGCCTAAAATACCCAAACGTCTTACATCTCTCTCTCTCTCTCTCTCTCTCTTTGTGTGTGTGTGTAATAATATAAATGCAATCACTCTCTAGATCTCATTAATACTCTCTTAATTGTCTCTCTTTTATAATATAATCTCTCTCTATTAATATAATATCGTGGTAATAGTGTGCAACTTTAAATATTAATGATATACAACTTTGTTAATGACAATAATTATTATTTTATATTTTAAAACAAAAGAAAATAAAAAGATATAAAATAGATAATATAGATAAATGCATATGCTAACTTTTATAAATACAAATATAATTATTATTTTATATTTCAATAAATGGTTATTTTATTTATTTTTTATAATTTTTACTTTTTATTATTAATTCTAACTATCCTATTAATATTAATTATACTAATTTTATATTTCTATTGATTCTAATTATACTATATAAAAGCTTGTTAAATTTTAATATTTGTATTAACTTTTGTATTTTTTTATTAATTATAGTTATTATTTATTAGGTTTCAAATTATATATAAATTATTATTATTATTATTATTATTATTACTATTATTATTATTATTATTATTATTATTATTATTATTATTATTATATGTCGTGTATCACATGTTACGGGTTTTTAGGCAAACCCGTTTAGCTTGTCTTCTTCATATAAGTAATAAAACATATTCTACATTTTAAATTTGCATTAATTTTTTACTTTTATACCATTTTTAATGAGTCTTCTATTTTATATAAGTCTCTTGTGAAGTATGGGCACCATGCACAATGAAGGTCTCAACTCAATTCATCAAAATTAGGATAAAATACAAAAACCTCCACTAAAGTTTCTGACAATCATAAAAAAAACCTCCCCTATAGTTTTACTTTAGCAAAAACCTCCCTTCCATTTTCAAAAAAATCAATGAAAACCTCCCTTCTGTCAATGAATAAGACGGAAAACATTAAACCAATATATTTTTCAAAATACCTATTTTACCCCTATATGAGTTATTGTATACTTATTTTTACTAAAATACCCTTTGCCCTCTATACTGAGCGTGAAACTCTGTTCCTCTAGTTGCTTGAAAATGACAAGGCCGATCGACTTCCTTAATGGTGGTTTTCTGTTTTTTTCAGGCAAAAGAAGGCCGATCGGAGGAACGCCGAAAAGGAAATCAAAGATCAACAACTTCTACATTCAATTCCCTTTTACAGGAAGACAATGGACAACCCATCCAGATTCTCATTACGATCTAAGCACAGCCCATCTGAGGTTGAATAGTGCTCCAAAGGTGAGGTCATACAGTGCCCTAAATCAAAGGCCAGAGCTAGGTCTCAAGAAGAAGCTATCGCCGCACGCGCTCTTAGCAGGAGTAACAAGTGCATTGGACCCACCGGAATTTACAAACTGAGGGGTGCTCTATGCGGTGGAGAACCTGCATTCGTCGCTAGTGAAGCTCCAGTCGAAGTCTTGGAAATTACGGCAATCCGGTATTGAGAGACGAGTAGGAATCTGGCATGGAAGGGGAGAGGAGACCATTTAATAAGTTGGGTCTTTTCCGCACTCTGACATTGAGGTCTTGGTTCTACAAGATCTCGACTTGGGTCTTACTGTATCGATTTTGACAATCTTTGGGCTCTCTTCGAAGGTGTTGATGGTAGGATCAATAGATGACGAAAGCCTCCTGATGCAGCACAATCTGGGCACTCCTAACTGGCTAAAACTTGGCTCCTAGTTGTAACAGATGGCACCTGAGATGAAGAGGAACGTGAAGGTTTCCCGGGGAGCTCTCCCGGCGGGAACACTCCGATGGCTAAGTTAGAACTCTGACGAAAACTCAAGGAAAACACAGTGAGTTAAGAGTGTTGAAAGTGCTAGCTTCAATACCTTTGCTTCGTGAGGGTCGGGGTCCTCTTATACCGGAGCTCAGTCACATCAGGTGTAACCGCCACTGCCCTAGCCGTTACTGCCAAGGCTGAGGTGGCAAGTGCAGGCTGCTGTTGTAGGGTACGGACTCGTCAGGCATGCCATGCTTTTCAGAGACGGCAGGCACAACGCCGCCTGGCAAGGGATGCGGCCACTGCCATCGGATTCGGTAGGAACGGATGTTAGACGGATCTCCCCTGCAGGTTGCCAAGCTACTTTGCACCGAACCGCCTGGGGTAGGTTTGCCTTGCACCGAGGTGCCGAGGCACGTCGAGGTGCTCGCACTGGAAGTGAGCCTTAAGCAAGTACGAACAGGAATCTCGACGGTGCTGTCCCGAGGTGTTTCTCCCTCGGGACACTTAGCCAAAAGCTGGGGTGCTCCCTTCTTAGGAAGGGAGAGCTCGGAGCCCCTTAGGAGGAGCTCGGTCCCTTTGCACAGGGGGAGCTCGGGGTGCTCCACCCTCAGGCTTGGGACGAGTTGGGCCTTGCTTCTCGGCGAGTTGTCACACCCGCTGAGTCGTTTGGTCAGGCCTCGGCGAGCTTGTTACGCCAAGTTGTGGCCAGGTTGTCACGCTGAGTTGTCACTTATGCCAAGGCATGTCCACGTGTCCCCGTCCTACAAGGTCAGGCCTAATCACCCTACATCAATTGCCCCCCACTCCCCATGCTAGGGGTTCTGACCCAACGCGGGGAATCCGCGGTCTGCCAGGTGGATTTGGCTCGGGGCCTGAGCTTTCTTGTCTGCCAGCTCATCGGTTTAACCGGTTCTCTGCTCGGCTCTACAAGGTGCTGCTCGGGTCGTGTACGGTCTATGCGCGGGCGTCACACGACTTATGGATTCCGTGAACGTCAAAAAATGCGCTAAACCGATTTTGCCTCGAAGGTCGCGTAGCCGGTTTTCATGAGGATCGTCAGATCGTTTCGATCTCAACCGTTGACGCCTGTGTATAGTGGCTATAAATAGCAGAGGCCCTGGCCATTTTCCTTCGCCACAAATCCTCAGTCGTAGTCTTGAGCTCGCATCCAAAGCCTCTTGCTCGGGTCAATTCTTCCCAGTCCGGTCCAGCTCTCTTTGG